GATAAAAATACACTGATCGAAAATTTTAGGTGACGGACGATGTTTACCTGAAATTACAACCATATCAAACAAAACTTCTCTTGCTTTGAGGAAGAATTTGAAATTAGCAGCCCGGTTTTATGGTTCCTACAAAATTGGGAAGAAGATTGGTAACGTTGCTTACAAACTAAACCTACTAGTGACTTCGAAGCTTCAACTTGTGTTCCATGTTAGTCTTTTGAAGAAAAAGTGAGAGACTAAAGGGTTACCTCACTGCAGAAGTGACAAATGATGGACAACTGCGTGTGTATCCAGCATTCGTCTTTGACAGGCGCATGGTGACACGACAGAACCAATTGGTGACACAGCTTCTCATTCAATGGATAAATATGGGAGTAGAAGCGGCTACGTAGGAGGATTACTCGGTTCTTAAATCACATTTTTCAGAATTCGATCCTTGGGACAAGGATCGATTCGTGAGGAGGGTAATGTCATTATCGAAGATGAATTATGGTACGCAAATGAAGAATTAGGGATTGGACAAGAATCCGAATTTGTAAAATTGGGGAAAAAAAATCAAAGAATGCCAGAATTTAAGTCAAGCGCGGACCAAACAAGCCCCAGCAAAGATGACTAGCTGAGTGGGAGTTAACAAGCTTCAAGGACGGAAAGACCCAATAAGAGATCCAGTGGGTGTAACTGCCAACAAACAATTTACTGTTAGGTATTAGATTTTACAGTTGTAATAGATGCCAAAAACTGTAAGCGTGTATTGAGTTTTCAGATAGTCTTACGAATGAAATGATGAATGTTCTTTGAACTCTCATTCTCTATTTCTTTTCTTAGTTTCAACCTTTCAATTCTATCACAAAACTTTCCTAAGTCTGACAAATAATGAATGTTTCTTAAAACTTTTCCCTGATTGACTAGTAATTGTTTTTATCAATGGAGATGTCATTTTACATCCGCTGAGAGCAATTACAGAAGATATTCGTAGCTTTAAAACGCGTAATTGAGTTCTTACTTTTCAACATGTTTTGTGATCATATCAACTACACAACATTTTATCATCGTCATCATCACCACTGCCACCATTTTCCATTTCTTGAATTGTAAAAAAAACAATTATATAAAATCATTATACTATTTTTTATATAAAATTATTGGTCCTTTATTAATTTTTATATATCTTTCATGTTAATTGTTTATCTAACAATTATATAAAAATCAAAAATAACTTTTATAATCCTCTACGTTTACAATTTAATTTTAATTGTGTACATATTGGTTGATCGATTAATTAGATTAAATATTAATTCGATTAATTAATTTAATGAAAACTGAATAATGAACCCCCTAAAAATCAGTGTACTACATCCGGAAAAAGAAAAGCCATGAAAATGATTTAATATCTTTCACATAATAGAAAGTGTTAACAATACTGCATATCCATAAGAGAAGGAAAAAAGAGAAATTGATGAGAGTTTTCAAGGGCTCGAGTAGATGTATTTATCGAGCGAGTCGATTATGAGTCGAGTAGTATTAGATTCGGTCTAAAAATTGTTTGATTTGGCTCGATGTGATAAGTTTGAAACTATTTTGTTAGGGTTATGTTTCAAAAAAAATTCATAGCTTGACTAGATTCGTTGTTCGTTAAACTAGTCAAAAAATTTATCATTGTAATATATATAAAATCTAGTAATACTATATAAAACTTACTATAAACATAAATTAATAAATTTTAAAAAATATCAAAATAGTAGGTGAAACAATTCCAAAATCTAAAGTAATAATCTAGAAATACATCGAACTAAGTTATTAAACCATAGTAACAATCCAGAAGTACACCAAACTAACATATTACAATCAAAATAATAATCCACAAATACATCAAACTAACATATTACAACCATTCCTGAAGAAAAAAGTTTAACAATACATAATTAGCCCTAAAAAATAAGGCAATCAACATCCTAAAAAGTTATATAAAAAAATTAATGAACTACTGGCGAACTTATCAAATCGAGTTGGACCTTGCTCGATTCGATTCCTTAAAATCTCAAGTAAAAGTTAAAATTGATCAATTTGAATCAAGCGTTGACCAAGTTTTGATCGAGTCAAACTCAAATTGTTCTTGAATTGTGCAGCTCAACTAACACCCGTAAGCTCGAGTTGGATGCCAAACAGTGATTTCCTTATTCTATAACTACAGATGAAGAAAGAAAAAAGTGTACGGTTCTGGGATCCTACAATATTAGAAGGGGAAAGCATTCTTGATATTGCTTCAAAGAATGCTTACAACTTCATTGCTTCAGTGCAATGGAATTGAATAGGGATGGTTCGGTCCAAGCTACATGAGGGCAAGGAGCAATGAAAAACTTGTCAAGTTGATTGCATCAATAGTTACGAATATATACGTAAATAGGTGCGAAGTAAAACACCTTTAAAGAGAGAAAGCACAACACAAAATGAAAAGTATATTTAAATGCGCGCTTTGAGAACTCTTCCGTGTAGGCGCACATTTCTACCGTCTTAAAGATAAGAGACCTGCTTAACTGCTCTCTTATGGTTCCACAAAAAAACATATCATAGTATGTTATGATCGAGAATTGAAATGGATGATGAAAATAGAAAAGAAAAAAAAAAGGAATTCAGGAAGATAGGCTAGTTTTGCAATTGTGATTGAAGATTTCTTCCTATGTTTCATATTTTGATGAATATTATGACAGTGACATGTAAATACACGAACCATGTTAATTAATAGCAGGAGTTAAGCCATTGATTCAGACGAGTAGACTGCACAAGTTCTTTTTATTATATAATACATGAATCTAGCTGTATATTAACGACGGGAGTTGAATACATTAATCTTCTTTTTGGTACCAAAAAAATTAGATTAAGGGTGACTCTCCTAGTCCAGAGCCAGACCATACTTAAAATCCAACTGAAATTTACATAAAAATTTATACACTGTCCATCAAGAGTGACGGTAGTAAGATTCGAACTTAACCTTACAAGTTCAAATTTCTGAATCTCAATCACTTGTGTAAACATTCATTAGCTTAAATACATTAATCTAATTATATATTAATAGCAGAAGTTGAATATATGAATATATTATATCATCCAGGTTAATCGAAAAATAGAAAAGAAAATGAGCCAATGAAATTAGGGGTGTTCATTTTTCAGTTTTAACATAATTAACCGACCGAACCGAATTAGTTTGGTTAATTCGGTCGGTCACCGAATTAGTTCAATCGGGGAACGGTTAATAATATTTTTTAGAATTCGGTTCGAAATCGGTAAATTAACCGAAATTAAATTTTATATGTTAAATATATTATATATAACACATGGGCTCAGTCTAAACTATTTAAAACCCAATTAATAATTTAATATCCAATAACTTTTAAACCTAAATCAATATTAATTAATTAAAAAATCCATATAAAATTTTTATTATATAATTATATATTATTTAAATTAATTGTAAATTATTTTTTTGAATTAAAAAAAATCAATTTTTATATAAATTAGAAAATTAAAAAAAACTCGGTTAATTCAAAATTTAACCGAATTAACCAAAATTTATTCGTTTCAGTTAATATTTAAAAAAAAAATTCGATTCGATTAACGGTTAAAGAAAAAAATCGATTAATTCAGTTAATGGTAATTAAGTTCAGCCAGCCACCGTTTTAACCAAATGAAATACAGGCCTTTTGGCATTGACACTGTACTAAGTGAAATTGACTTCATATTCACTCTAAAATTAAGTAAAATGTAGGTTGTGAATACAATAAATTTTAAAATAATAAAATATTAAATTAAATAATATTTAAATAGCAATGGCGAAGGAACAAGTGTGAGGAGGATATTAAGTGCTCAAAGAGTGAACTGATGGATAATGGATGTGGATAGGTAATAAAATTGATATATAAACTTTTTAGTATAAAAGAGTGTCTCGTCAGCTGTAGACGCAGGACTTCGCACTGCACCTTGCGCTTTTCAAAATTAAGAATACCGTTCGAAATCGTTACTGTGATAATCACCGTAATAGCACCCAGTATTGTCGCAATCACGATAACTGCAATACCACCTGATAGTAACTATTTCCAGATTTTATTGTAGATCAAACAAAAATGGAAACAAAAGTGAAAGGGATAACCCTACTGAAGTCGGTATAGAAATAACATTCAGAAAGAAAGCATAGCATATCTGAATTCTCTATACCTACCTACTTAATGTATTGAGAAACCCACTTGAAACCATCTCCATAACCCATTTTTCGAACGATACTACACATGAATACCTCGAGGGGGCGAACGTTCGAGTCCCCCAAGTTCACCTGACCCTTGCCGGTGGTGAAATTTGTCAGGCCAAGGTGATAACGTAACTCGTCTTCTGAGGCAGCGTATGGTATATCGATCTTGTTTCCCAATATCAGGAATGGAACATTAGCCAAGGATTCATCAGAGAGGAGAGCATCCAACTCCTTTTTCGACTCAGCAAACCTCTCCTTGTCATAAGCATCCACCAGGTAAACAACAGCATCCACCTACCAATCAACTTCTATATCAGTTCAACTATGCTCTCAAGAAAAAGAAAAGGCATTCTGGTTGAGAAGTATAGACTCGAATCTTCTCACTTTCGCACCAGTAAAGGTATATCTAATGAAAAAAGCATCCCTAAACGCACCACCAAGCCTGTGCCTGGTTAAATGGGACTTGCCCAAAAGGGTGTGAGGCACTTCCATTGTCTAGTGCTAAGGTGCATGGAACAGGCACACCTAAACACATGCCTTGAAAACACAGCTGGTAACTATGCTTTCCAGATAACACGAAATCAGTAATAACAGAAACTTGAAAACCTAAAGGAAGCTATTGTGCACAAACCAAATGAGGAACCAGAATGCGTATACATTATTGAAGACAAACGCAAAAAGACAACTCCATGTGTTTCCGTTTAGGAACATTCCTACATTGAAATCTTCACATTCTTACTTCAATAACATAGAGTGGAATTTTCGTTCGCAGACGTACTATCAGAACAACTTTTGTTAAATTTAAAGTCATTATCAGCAAACTCCCCATCCTTATTCTTTGCCCCTCATGAATCAAATAATCACAACAATCATTATCTGGGATTATAAAGGCACAATAAAAAAACGACTATGATAAAACACTATTGCAACTAAGTAGGTGCTCAACTAAAATAGTTAAAGGAGAAAAGAAATCAAACAGATGCTTATTACTCCCATATTCTAAAACCACTATTTACGCAATGCAACAAGATTTACCATATTTTACCATACCTGAACATTAATTTGCTAAACGGCTTTAGAAGTTATAAATAAAGTTCAATTCAAAAGGGCTAACATTTGCAAATGATTAAACCTATACTCCACGGTCCACATCATGGATAAACACTTTATATATATATGTGTGTGTGTGTCTACATATATATATATATATATATACATGGATTAGAATCTAGTTACACAATGTAAAACTAAAAAAGTTTTACATTGATGATGAGTTAAACTAGACGACTGAGAATATCTTGCTTTTTTTAGTGAATATCTTCTCATTTCCCATTGATAATCTCAACGTCTATTTTCACATGGAGTGATGACTAAAATTTGCGAAATGAGTGCATAGTTTGTTGTCCGGAAGTGGAAACAAAAAATCACATGGAGTTGTAGGTAAAAGATATATACCTTGGCGTAGTAATCTTTCCAAACTCTTCGAGCAATCTGATGGCCTCCCAAATCAAAAGCCTTAAACTTGATTTTCCCAATACTCAATTCCTCTGATGTAGGATGCTGTGTAGGCTGATGTTGAACTAATCTCTGCCAAATCCCATCAAAAACAAACTATGAATCAACTTATTATAGAAAAGGAAGAAGAGAAAAAAAGAAAGCAACCATTTATTTTCTTCCTTGTATAAATCAAAATTTCCAGCTACATGTTATAATCCCATCAATAGTTCAAGAATAGATCATAATTTTTTAATAGTATGGGATGATAAGGTAGTATCGGTTCAAAATCTCTCTTAATCATTGATAACATACACACCCTACAGGACTGCTAGAACCCGAGACTTCTCAGAGGTCAACATTCCATCCCCTCGGTTCAGAAAAAACATGTTACATAGCCGTACTTTGAATTAAACGTTCGATAGCATTCAAATCATTGTTAGATCAGAAATATTAGAACTCAATCAGAAAAACCAACATATTATATACAAATCAAATTCCCGAAATAAGAACTGCTATGAACAAAACAAATTAATGAATAAAGGGTGAATTATGAGAATACCTCGTCTTTGAGCATGTGAAGCAGCGTCGTTTTGCCGGCATTATCAAGCCCTAAAAACAAGATCTTGGCCTCTTTCTGCCATAAACCAAGGGAAGCAAGAATCCCATAGAACCAATCAAAGATAAACATGATTTAGAATTGCTTCCTTCGCTAAAACTAATTAACCCAAAAACCAAAATTTGAATCTTGAGTCAAAATAACACTATCAAGGGAGGGTGGGGGTTGGCGGATGCATAAAGAAGGGCGAGTTGGCCAGTTTTGACCGGGTGGGTGAGTTGTTCGGACCAATCAGATGCTTCAAATCAAGAGGGTAGCTGGAGACGGGGGACTATGGCCAATGGGTCAATCTTTCTTTTGCTCAAATCTGATGGATCTTCTTCTTTTAGATCTGCGTTTCTGGTGGTAGGCATAAGTTTTCTTGTGGCCCTCTTTTGCTGTTGGGCTTTTTATTAAACAAACCCCAATTCTTTTGGGTACAAATATTTTTAATCACTTGAGCTCTGATCAATATTTGGTCCAATTCAGTTGAGGTTTGGGTCAATTTTAGATTCTTAACTAGTTCAGGCTCGAGTCATTTAAGTTTGGTATTAGATTTTCAAGGGGAAGCATTATGAGTTCCTTAATTTTGGATTTAAGTATTTCGAGTTATGATCAATTTAAGTTGAATGGATTCAGATTGTTGAGTTTTCATGCTCTTCAAATTAATTTAAATTGATCCAAATAAATTTTTAAATTCGACATGTCTAATTTAACCCCTTTTTTAGTTTTATTGTAGCACTTTAAGATAAACTTTATCATGTAAATGTTCATGTTATTTTAAGGTACACTTTTATCATATAAAAGTTCATATATATTTTTGAAGTTACGATTATTAGATTCCTATGACTATACTAAGATCAATCAATACAATACATAAACAAAAATATTGTGAAAGCAGTGACATCGATACTTGTTGATGATAAACAATGGTGGAATGAAAGGAGAAGCCCAAAAAAAGGCCTAAAACAACTAGGGTTTTCAAATAATATAGATGAAGGTGATTATAAAAAAGTTTCAGTTTTAAATACCCTCAACAATTTGATAATGACCCGACTATAGTCACTGGTATTCGAACCCGTGACCTTTGAGAATAATAATCATTCCTTTAACCTCTGAAGTAATTTGATTCGTGCATGAAATTAAATTAAATTGAATCATATTTGGGTTACAATGATATTAGGTCAAAAATTCTCTTGAGTTCATTACAATTGTGTGACTTATATTGTCTATTCTCTAATCAAAGATTAACCACCCAACTAATCACTAACTAATCCATTGATAAATTTAAGGGTAAAACTACTTGTTTAATACCTAAACTATCACTTTTGTTCTATTTTAGTACCTAAACTTTCAATTTTTCAAAATCATACTTAATATTTACTTTTTGTTTCATTTCAGTACTCCGTTGTTAACTTTTTATTTCATTTCAGTACTCCGTTGTTAACTTTTTGTTTCATTTTAGTACCTAAATTTTTAATGACGGATACTAAAATAAAACAAAAAGCAAACGTTGGGTATGGTTTTGAAAAAAAAATAGAAATTCTATGTACTAAAATGGAACAAAAGTGATAGTTTAGGTACTAAATGTGTACTTTACCCTAAATTTCATTATTTTAACTTGTAACACTCACTCTTCTTTTTCTACTTATAAATTATTGAATCATAACAAAATGAGTTGGTCATTATGATCTAGAATTCAAACACTTAAGCTTGTCCGTATTAAAGTCAATATGAACCAATAATCGAATGCAGAAACAAATTGCATTATATAAAAAAGGCTATTAAGCCTCACCATATATCATCTCACAACAACAAGCAATCAAGGAAAGCTATTTTGGATACAATCGAAGCATAAAAGATTCACTCGGACGGTGACCATACTATTAGAGTTGAATACGAATACTAAATAGTCTAGACATTATACCGAACAACGCTTTCCGGATTCAATGCCATTAGCATAGCTAAACTATAATAAAGCTTGGGGTCCCAAAGCAAGTTCACAAGGTTTTCACCACTTCATTCTTTGCCATCGGCAGCACGAAGTGACCCGAGCTGGACCGGTGCTTGAGTTCCAACCACCTTAGATGACCCGTAAACAGACAGATCGATGCCTTGAACCTTCTCTTTCTCTATTTGCTCCCTGATCCAAAAGTATGTAATTCTCAGCCCATCCTATAAAACAGTAAATCGACTTTTTTTACTTCAAGTGCAAAGGAACAAGACCATTTTTGTGAAATCAGTAGGAATATCATGTGTAATAACTTAATTTAGTTACCTTCAACCTCATTGTAGGAGCCCAACCAAGTTTTTCTTTGATCAATGTATTGTCTGAATTACGACCACGAACACCCTCTGGACCCGGGATATGATGGATCCGAAGATTCTTATCCTCAAAGCTAAGAACAATCTCTGCCATCTCATTCATGCTAACCATCTCATCACTTCCAATATTCACGGGCTCACGGAAATCTGATTTCGTCAATCTGAAATGCAAAAGATAGATCACTAATTGTGACCCCAGGACGAACTCAACCGGATGGTAAATGCCAAAACACATATCTAGAAGTGTTTAATCTAAGGCATAAATACAGAAAATAAATTCTAATAACCAAAATCATTACCTCCCATATGGCCAAAAAACACTTTCATCTAACTGCAAGCAGGCAAATATCAGAACTTTAAGGTTTATGGGAATTTAAGTTTTCAAATTCAACTAACATAGCAAGCTAAGAAATGGGAAATTGTTCCCTGTTTGATTCCTCTTACATTTATATTACAAGCCGGATCCATGCAGACTAATGTTTACTAAAACAAAACATGGTGGTTTTCCCTCTAAATTTGTTGCTTAAAATGAGTTCGAGCATGAGTTTTGAAACTGCCAGAATGTTACCTGAGTACACCTTCTACGCATTCGTCAATGAAGGTGAAAGATCGAGTCTGAAGACCATCTCCCACATCTCAAACTTGTCAATGGAAGTAATAGCCTTTCTGCAAAAGGCAGCGGGAGCCTTCTCCCTTCCACCTGTTGATATAGACAGGGAGAAACACGAAATTGGTAAGTTCCAAAATAAACAAAAATACATATGCACACATCAAAACTAAAAGTTTTACCTTTCCATGTACCAAAAGGGCCGTAAATGTTGTGGAACCTTCCAATGCGACACTCGATTCCGAAGTCTTTGGTGTAGTGTTTGCACAACTCCTCCGTCGCAAGCTTCTCCAATCCATAAGCATCTTGAGGCTAAAACCGGAGTTTAAAACAAGGAAATCAGTAATTATATCAGATTAACTAATTGAACATAAGATTACCAGATAGCATTTAATGAAATTGAATTACAAACCTCGGCAGGCCAGGCATCGGATTCTTTCAAGCTCACATTAGTTTCCAATTGCTTAAATTCAGGATAGATACAAGCACTGGAGGCATAGAAAAACCTAAACAGACCAAGGTATCAAGTTTAAACAGACTGTAAACTTGGTGGCATTGCGATGAATATTAGGCAAACATATGATACAATATACCAATCCGAACAAACCTCTTAACACCACTTATCCGAGCAGCCTCGAGCATGTTGAAACTGATCATCGTGTTGTTGTACATGATGACAGAGTGATTGGACTGAATGAAACCCATGCCGCCCATATCAGCGGCGAGGTTGAAAACATGATCCACTCCGTTGGTAACCTTCAAGCAGTTTTCCATCACTCGAAGATCGACGAGATGGAATTCGTGACAGAACATATCTTCTGTCATGTGCTCATTCTTCTTCCAGTCGGAAGCAATGATG